CTAATAATTCAAATAACACGAAACTAAAAAAGGAATAATGAATAAAAATGGACTAAATGTTAATTCATTAATATAAAACATTAATTTTCAATTTTAGTCTTAAACATTTATATCGACTGATTGATTTATTAATTGACTTCATTGATCTCACACTGGAGAAATTTATATTTTACATATTACATACTAAATACAGTTTACATTTATATATTCAGAACATGTACTCAAGATTATAACATGTCCCAATTTGAAGCTGAAAAAATCTGAACTTTGGTGAAACCTCGGAAATACAGAGTGGCTCCCAGGAATCTGTATGTTGGGTTTGCCCGCTGCAGTTTTTGTAAAGCTGCCTTCAGTTTGTCAGATGTTGGAGCAAGGAGTATCATAACACTGCAGGCAGCTGCTATTCGCTTTATAAGCAGTTATCAGTTTATTTCTCTTTCTTTTATACAATTAAAAAAGGATATATCCCCCAGTCAGAAATCTAACTTCAGGGTACAGTCCTCTTTTTTTACTAGTAGGAAACCAATTTTATCTCACTATTATTATATTAGTGCAAACATAACATAGCAATGGAAAAGAACTGTCCCTGTTCCCAGAATAAAAGCCAGTTGCTCTGGATTAAGGGCCTGAAGATACTCTGCAAGAACAGATAAATCAATAATCTCAAGGTGGAAGGAAAAAAAAAATTTTTTTCTCTGTCATAAATACTCCATACTTCATAAAAACTCAGGTGTAGAACTCTAGGGAAGCCAACATAATTATTTCTCACTTCAGCCTTTGCTATTGAGTAACTTTAAAACCTCTTTAAGGTTTTAAAGCAGCTGATTTTACCATTTAAAAAGCTTTAAAATGTTTGGTACAGAGACTCTTAAAACCAAGAATTACAAGAACAGAATACAGTACAATAATTTCAAACCTAGTTTCTTATAGCTGGGAGACGGATAACCCCCACTCACCCCTCCCAAGCATGCCCCTTTAGTATCCAATATAGCTGCGGTTCATGCATGTAGTAGAAAATAGTGGCAAATCAATATTCTTGCAGAAACAGATGACAGTTACCTGATGTAACTACTTATATCATCTTCTTGTGAACAATTTTCATATAATTACATTCTTGTGAGAAAACCTCTGGGATTTGGGGGATCAGGTATTTCACTGAATATTGAAATCTAAAGTTAGGTTTGAAGTTAAATCATCCTTTTCCTGGGGAATCATCTCTTTAGGGTCCCTTGCCATTTATTTTCCCCACATTAATTTAGAAAAATAAATTTTAAACATGCATGGTAAATTATTAAGAATTTATTTTTATTACAAAATGCAACATCTGTACATCTATATTGATATTAATTAGTACTTTGGTACTTATTATTAGGGAGATGGTAAGTGTGATAAAATGTTTTATACCTTCTGAATAAGCCATTAAATTATTAATGGGTTGAATATATTTTTAATTTATTCTAAAAAGATGAGCAATTTTAAAAACTCATTCTAAAAACTGAGCATTTGTGGTTTTAAAGCATGAAGCTCAGGTTAGCCAGTGGTCTTGCCGCCCCCTGGTGGCCACAGGGTCCTAAACCAGCCTTATTGTAAAAAGCTAAATTGATGAAAAGCTTCCTAAAATAGTCCAGCTTAAAATTAAAGTAAATATCAGAAAGTATCATAATAATGAGCTATTGTTTAGGATAACAGAATGTTTTTTGGTTGTCACTTACGAACTGCATGCATCCATGACAAGTCACCATGTTTCCTTGTTCTTACCTCTATAAAGATAGTCAAAACTAGAAAAAAAAATGCTTAAGTGATTACATCTATTTTATGTCGGTTACTTTCCCATCCCACATGTAATAGAGATCGACTCTTCTTTGAAAGAAGTGAATAATATGTCTTAATTATACATCTGACGCAGCCATATGGAGAATATGAAAGACAGGGGGTGGTGTTGCTATTCCCAGGAGTGTTTAATGATGAAGAGATCCATATGGTCTTAAACTAATATGCATTAATAACTATGTGAGGCTTACACGTTCCCTCCTACTCCTCTTTCACATAGTGCCTGTGTTTGCAGATGTGACAGACACATCTGGATACCCAGCCCTACTTCTGCCCCGGGGACCATCGCAGCCCAAAGAAGGGAAGAATCTGATCATGCAACATAAAATGCAACTGCAGCAAAAAAGCAAGAAGAGGAATTGATTGGTGTAACATTAATAATTCTACATTTTTAAATTAATATTTTTTAAAAATAGCATATTCTTATAAATACAACAACAAATGTCACATTTCTGATCAATATGTCACGGTTTTTGGTTCTGGTTAAGTTTTTTTTCTCTTTTGAGTTTTCAGTTTCACTTTGATCCATGTTTTTCTTTGTTTTCTGGTTTTATTGGTTTAATAAAATATTAATAAAATATTTTGTGGTGTTTTCTGGATGTATTTGAGTTCTTAGGTATTTCTTGATTGCCCTCTTTTCCCTAGCTCCTGTCTAGAATCCTCTGTTCACACCTGCTCCCAATCAGCACATTAGTCCTGTCTTTGTTCAGTCTCCTATAAATACTCTCCCCCTGAAGCTGTCTGGTTTCTTGTATTTTGTACTTTGGTTTTAGATTTTTGCCTCAGTTATTTCGTTAAATCTTTAAGAACTCACCTCTGCCTCCTCACCTCTGCATTTGGGTCCTCAAAACCTCAACCTTAACCCTGACGCAGTGCTGTCCGGGCATTCATGTTGGCTTTAGATCATAAGTAGCAGCTTTAAGTCTGTTTCAATCCATTATATTTCCCTCCCAGAACCTTGTATTTTACTTTGGGGTTTTCTTTTTAACACTGAAAACAATACATAGCAGACGTGTTTTTTTTCCCCCAGATTTAATCACCAAAGAAATGTTCAAATATAAAAAAAAACCTTAGTCAATTTGAGTTCAGTTGTAAGCTATCCAAATAAAGTTGTCCTTTATGATAAAGTGAAAACCTTATAAAAGAATAAGGCAGCAACAACTGCCTTCAAAAATAACTAAACATTACTATTATTAAATGCCAATAGGCTCTAAGGGAATTAACTAAGTGTTTAAGACAAGAAGTGGGGGTTAAGTGGGGGTGGGGTCAGGATGAGGGAAAGTGACAATACAACTCAAAGTAGCTAAATTTTGAAACTGGCTGTCTTATAGCAATAAAATGCTCACCTAAAATAAACTAGATGCCATTGATTAATGCTTGCTATATTTAAAATTACAACCACTGACTTGCCACAGTCAAATTTGTCTGAGTGAGATGGTTTTATGATGCAGAAGTAAGATTACCACATAGGACACAGTTTTTGTCATTGGTTTAACAGAGGCTGTAATGGCCATACATGAGAAACGCAGAATAAAAGTGTCCACAAACAGGAAAGCGGAGCGTCGCTTCCACTTCCACTTCCACTTCCACTTCCACTTCCCAGTTCCAAGTTTAATGCCAAGGTAAATGACAGCCAGTCACGGGGCGGTAACATAGAGACGATTCAATCTGTAGTGTTTTGAACGACAAGAAAATCCAACTTCAGTAGCAACATTTCAATTCTTAGAGGTCAGTCTTATGGCCGTTTTTAGTCGGCACTGGGCACCAAGTGTAGAAATTTATATATATATAAAAAAAGAAAAAAGAAAAATCACATGTCTGCTATTTAACGCACCTTCTTCACATTTAGTGCTTTTTTCTAATATTTAGGGTCAAAACCCTAAATATAAATCTTAAATCTATTCAAAAACCAATATGTCTAAATCTTACATCTAAAAATATATCAAATCTAAATCTTAACTACATTTAAACATAAATCTTATATAGGAACTCCAGTGAGAAGGGGAGGTGAGCTGGGACCTTCAAGATGCCTCCACTTCTCATTGGTGGTCCTATATGCTAAGTCTTAAGATCTTTAAATCTGTGATTTAAGATTTAGATGTTAAAGATATTGTCAGGTTTGGTGGATATTTGTAGAGGACCCAAATGCAGAGACAGAAGCAGAGATTGTTTCTTTTAGGTTTAATGATGAAGCTGGTGGCAATAGAAGCATAAATCCAGACTAAATGGGCAGGGAACTTAGGAAGCAAAACTGCACAGGAGGTGTATATATGGGAGAAAGAAACGATGAATGGGCTAATCAGCTGATCGGGACCAGGTGTGGACAGGAGCAACAAAGAATGGCAAGGAAAAACAGGATCTAACTGTAACTGGGAAAGAACTTAAATAAAGCAAATAATACTAATGACTACAACTAAACCAAGGAATAATGAAAGAAGATAAAATAAAGAAATAACAAGGGAGAGTAAAACCTAGAATTCAAAAATGATATAGATCTCAATTTATTTCAAACTTCATAGAATAATTCATAAGTGAGAACCCCCCCCCCCAAAAAAAAATAAAAATAAATTAAATAAAATAAAAACAACAACAAAAACAACAATAACAAAAA